ATACTGGATTTTTATTCATCCAGTTTAATTTTAGATCCATTCTCACGATGTTTGCTCCTCCTTTCATACATACATAATGTTTAATCAAGGGCAGTTAAGTGTAAATTCTCTGTAATCGGAAAACCGTAAGGACACAAAACATGATTAATTGTAATACATAATATCACAAAAAGCAAAACACGTGACTTCTTTATTGTCTAGAGCAATACAGATTTTGTGATAAATTTCTATCAATTTGGTCACCAGTTGAATGGTTACGCATAAATCCAGCTTGTAGGTTATATAATAGTTTATGTGATACTAAATGATTATAAATGTATTTAAACATTACTCTTTCAAAAACTTTTCCAATGCAGCTCAACAAAGAAATTGGTCTCTAATTGGATGGGTTTGATTTCTCACCTTTTTTAAAAACAGGTACTACACTTGCATGTTTCCGAACACATGGAAATTTCCCAGTTCTCAGGGATTTATTAAACAGTATTTCTAGCGGGACAGCAATTTCTTTCCATATTTCTTTTATCAAAATATGACTGAAATTGTCGGGACCGGAGGTTTTTTAGAATCTAAAATTTCGATAATATCGACAATTTCATTTTCATTTATAGTAACAATTTCAAGTCTAGCCTCTGTCTTTGATTCAAATTCAGTGAGGCCTTTGTCTATATTGTCATTAGAGGAAACTTTACAAAAATATGCATTCAATAATTCACATTTTTCATCATCAGTATAAACATAGGCATTATCTTCAAGATTTTTTAGTGGAGGAATCGAATGTGATGGTTTCGAACCTTTCAATAATCTGCGAACTATTTGCCAATAAGCTTTTGAGTTTGTACAATTCAAATGATTCAATGATTCATTCAAATTTATTAAGTACTCTTCTTGTAGTTTCTTTTTAAAAATGTTGACTTTGTTTCTTTGTTTCCGGTATTTTTCATTATCTTATTCATTTTTAGATTTTCTCTAGGCTTTTCTTTATTTTTCGCGCAAGTTTATTTCTTTTCGAATTGCAGAATTAAACCAAGGTTTGTCCTCCGGTCTTACTACTACATCTTTTTGTGGTATGTGTTCATTGACAATATCCGAAAGTTTTTCGTTAAACTTTACTACATCGACGTCGACATCTTCGCTATTTAGTATTTCACCCTAATTTGTTTCACTCATTGCATTTCATTTCATACATGACATGGTCAAAATTTGCTCTTTTGTACTTTTGATCGCTGTATCAAGGTTGAGTATTATATAGGTTGCTTTGTGATCACTTACAGTTTTTTCTATGTCGATAGTTCCTGATTCAATACAATCAAGGGTATCTGTAATAAGTATGGGGTCAATACAAGTCGATGTTAAATTTGTCACTCTTGTTGGCTCAGTAATATAATTAGTAAGTTTATATGTCGAGATTATATCACTTACATATATTGGAAGCTTTTTTCTTGAAATCTATATTCCAATCCCCATTTAATACTATTTTATTTGATTCATCTAAAGCCCTTCCAAAAGAGTTTTCTAACCTGTCCCAGAATTCAACTTTCGATGTTTCAGGTCTATAAATAGTGCATAGAAAAACGCTTTTTTTCTACCCAGATTGTTTAGTCCAGCGCATTTTCGAAGTCTGTACGTCTCAGGGCTTCTAAGCCTTCTCTTATATAAAAAAAGAATACCACCCTCATGACTAGTTCTATCTAATCTGAATGGGGAGTTATACCCTTCAATTGTTAAATTCTCTGTATCATTCAAATGAGTCTCGGTAAAACACAAAATGTCGTTCAATTCAATGTAAGTAGTTATCTTGTCTAATTCATGTCGTATACTCCTACAATTTAGATGAAAGATTGACAAACCAATTACGTTTACCTCTGGACCAGGGTTTTCTGCAATATCATTACATAACAAAAGTAGAGTTATTAGAATTAAAATATTCTGAATGTTCAGTATATTTTTCTTGATTAAATCTACAACCTTAAATAAGAAAAGCAAAATTTCTTTTGCCAGTTTGCCGATTTTTAGAATAAAAATTTTCTTTCTCCGAATAATTAATTTGTGACACACGGAGTAGTATTTTCCAATTGCCGCACGATATGTCATAAGATCATTACCCAAGATCTAAAACGTCAAATCGAAAGATGTAAAGAAGAGTGTTTTTCGTGCAGCGATGGCAGATCGGAGTGTCGACTTCATTTATACAGCGTAACGCTTGAGTAACCATTGAGTAAAGAGGAGTTATAGCGCAATGATAAAGTGGGTGAAAAGTGAAATCGAAAAAAAAACACGAAGTATTGGCATGAAAAAAAGTTGGAAAATTGCGAATACATAAAAAAAACCCCAGTAAGAACCCAGAGCAAAGTATGGGCATGCAAGGAAGTTAGAAAAAAGGTAAGATAAATGTGTGTTCATGTGTTAATTAGAAATATACATATTTATAATATATATACAGTCGTACAAATCTAGCTTTGCAAATGTTCAAAAAGAAATATCACTGGTTGTTTTTCTTGTTTATAATCTCTTATAATAGTTTTTTGTAGTAATAGTTTGGGAATAATAACAGTACATTTATTTGATTTTAGGCCTCATCATCACTGATGTGGTCAACTTCTGGTAGGAAGCAAGCAATGTCACTGAGGTGATTTATCAAGATTTTGGGTGAATTCTCAGTCTCCTTTACAAATATTCTTCCATCATTGGTCCAATATGAGTCAATTTTTTTGTAGTAACGCGCCTTGGATAGAGCTTGAATGATTTGTTGTCGAGAGCGAGTAAGGTCGTCAGAAATAAAGATTTTACTTTCGCTGCCTTGATCTTTTAACACGGATTTTGTTTGGTAGACCCTGTTTTTGATTTTCCAGTTGTTAAATTTACAAATGATTTGGGCTTTTCCGTTTTGGGTTGTTCCAATAATGTGGGACCTGTTTATATCATTCGGACTGATAGGGGGAGATAACTTCAATTTTTCATTGCAGATTCCAACCACAATTTGATCGGTGTTGTTGATTTGAGTTTTAGTCATTGGAACCCCATGGAACCTTAATGAGTTTCTTCTCCCATACTGTTCAAGTTCTTCCAGGCCTAATTCTAATTTGTCGACCTTTTGAGATATATTGTCAAACTCAGCTCTTAAAGTTTGATTTTCTGAACTGAGTTCTTGGATTATAACATTTTGAGATTCAATTTTCTGACATAGGTCTGATTTGATTGACGTTAGATCTTGAATAACTGTGTCAATTTTTGAAGTGAGTGCCTGAATTGATTCAGCTATTAAAGTCCCAAGTTGTGGCATGAGGGCTGAGATAAAGGTTGATGCTGCTGACTGAATAAAATCAGGACCATTGATCGTAGCATGAACCAGTTCTGAAATGTTGAAGGTCTTACCGTGGTGTGTCAGTATAATTGGAGCTATATTGCCTTTTTGGACGGAAGCTAAATTGTCAAAAGAGTTTCTTTGTCGCAGAGGCGCGGGAGCACCCACATGATCCGCCAACTCAGTGGGGCTAACAGTTTGATCAATATTATGGACTCTTGAAAGTGTGGAATGTGGCCTATCATGCTAACATAGGGACATATTATATTTTTTATAATTCCATTACACAAGTATTTATCACATTTGTCATAGCTTCTCCTATCTATTATTATCATCATTATTAGTATAAAGCAACAATTATGTAAATAATTTCATTATACCCCCCGCTTGAAAAGCGGGAGGGTATATAGTAATCGTTAATTCCGTCCGTCCGTCTGTTACGCTTTGGGGTACCCATCTCTTATTCGCAACTCCTCTCATACCACTGAATGAAATTTGATGAAACTTTCACAGAATCTTTATTACATATTGCCATTGTGCATCTCCTATTTTACTTTTTGATCCGACACATATTTTGGGTTTCCCATAGCAAAACATGGACACTGCCATTTATACATATATGGGAGGCGGGGGTATTATTTGGTGAGCCCATTGCTCACAGTACCTCTAGTTTATGTGTAGAATGCTGTTATTTTCTTTTGTCTAAATGTAAGCAATTAGATGTTCTCTTTTATTGTTCAAACTGAATGCCATTTGCTAGAATTCTCTCGGGCCTTTCAAGTGTCAGGTTCAATGCTATGTATTTTCCCCATTTCTTCATTTTCGGCTGCTTGTTACGCAACTCTTAAATTTTCCATGGTAAAACCTGACCCCTCCGTAGACAATCAGCCAATCAGAGGTGTCCATCTTAATTGTTTTGATGCTGTCTGTAACTGACCAGTCAGCGCTGGGTTGCTTTGTTGACGCTATCAATAACAGCAAAAAATTTGGCACACCCACCACCACCCCAGCTTTTCCTACCTTGCATTTATATGTTTGAAATTAATATATAGATTGCATTTGACACGTTGGCATATTCATTTTTGTAGTGCAATCTTTTTGCTGTATACATACTGTTTTTATATTTTTTGCAAATATTGTTTACCTGTAAATTTAGGGGATCAGTATATTAATATGTATTTGTGCGATGACCTTTTGATCTGATCCCCTATCATGTGATGTATATATTTTTTCTTATTTCGTAATTTTAATAAATGACTTATTTCATCTCAACAATGGTGTTGATTTTATTTGATTATATCTCAGCAAAAACAGAGCTGCGGTGAGATTGTGCAGCATTAGGAAACATAAATATAATTTTTATTATTGTCTCAAATTGAATATAGCTTTTCTAAAAACAATCATCCATAATCATCGTCAATATGTAATGTAATTTATCTTTGTGTTATTTATATCATTGTTTGTTATCAATAAAAGAGAAAAAAATAATAATCGATTTTCGGAATCGGTAGCATTTTTTCGTCGACAATCGATATGTTCTGATTATCGGTATAACACTACTTAGGATACCTTTCAGAAAACTCATATTACAAAAATGAAAACTGTTACCTAAAGAACACGAATAAGAAATTTCTTTGTTTCAGTCAGTGATTAAAGGGATCTTGATGTGATTAACAGTAGTTAGAACTTTTATACTTACAGAGTCGACAGTCCTGACAGACCATTAAATGCATTTACCAGAATACTGGCTAGTCTGTTACTGGATAGGTCTCTAATGTAAATGTAGATGAAAACAATATAATTAAGTACTTGATCTGGTATATATGGTCAATATATATTGATGTTGAGGAAGAGGCAAACCTTTTTTTTTTACTCCGAACGTTTTGAAAATTCATATGAACATTTTTATGCCATCAATTCTCATTTTTGTATTCTTTTTGATGAAAATGAGCGTGTGTGCATGTAGCATCTTCTTTGATATACAATTTGATAAGCAAGCAAACCTATCAAACACATTATCAAGCACAATGATATGATAAATATAGTGATTGCAGATTTAATTCCTTAACATTGATCATGCTATCTGTATGCCCCATAGATTATATAATTTTTGTCACTTTTATTAACTTTTATTTATAACTTGAAGAACACGAATGTGAAATTTCTTTGTTTCAATCAGTGATTCAGAGTAGTATGAACTTCTATACTTACAGAACCCATAGCCTTGACAGACCAATAAATGCATTTGTCTGTAGACTGGTTATCCTGCTGTGGGATAGGTCTCTAATGTAAATGTAGAGAAACACAAGACAGTTAAACTATTGATCTGGTTTATATGGTCAATATTTATTTATGCAGAGGAAGAAAAAAAACTTTTAAGCCGTGTTAAAATAATGTTTGCTTGCCCTCTCACTAAAATTTGCAGGTCGGTTGATATAGTTAGGGAAATCCTTTTTCAGAAAATTTCAATATATTTGTTGACAGGAAAATAGGGGAAAAAAAGAATAATATCTATTCCTGGCGTTTAAAAAAAAATTATTGTGTCGGACCATTCTTTTCAGTCTTTCGCAAAAAGGAAACCGAACAATTTTTCAATTTTTTCTTATTTGAATCGCACATTTCGAAAGGTCACACTAACAAAAATGTACCAAAGATTCCCAATTTTATGATTTTTTTTAAGATACATGTAAGCATCATTCAGCAAATTTCGGCTGATTCCGTCGCCTATATCAAGCATTGGCTGTACGAGGAAAAATAGGGGAAAAAAAGAATAATATCTATTCCTGGCGTTTAAAAAAAAATTATTGTGTCGGACCATTCTTTTCAGTCTTTCGCAAAAAGGAAACCGAACAATTTTTCAATTTTTCTTATTTGAATCGCACATTTCGAAAGGTCACACTAACAAAAATGTACCAAAGATTCCCAATTTTATGATTTTTTTTTAAGATACATGTAAGCATCATTCAGCAAACTTCGGCTGATTCCGTCGCCTATATCAAACATTGGCTGTACGAGGAAAAATAGGGGAAAAAAAGAATAATATCTATTCCTGGCGTTTAAAAAAAAATTATTGTGTCGGACCATTCTTTTCAGTCTTTCGCAAAAAGGAAACCGAACAATTTTTCAATTTTTTCTTATTTGAATCGCACATTTCGAAAGGTCACACTAACAAAAATGTACCAAAGATTCCCAATTTTATGATTTTTTTAAAGATACATGTAAGCATCATTCAGCAAATTTCGGCTGATTCCGTCGCCTATATCAAACATTGGCTGTACGAGGAAAAATAGGGGAAAAAAAGAATAATATCTATTCCTGGCGTTTAAAAAAAAATTATTGTGTCGGACCATTCTTTTCAGTCTTTCGCAAAAAGGAAACCGAACAATTTTTCAATTTTTCTTATTTGAATCGCACATTTCGAAAGGTCACACTAACAAAAATGTACCAAAGATTCCCAATTTTATGATTTTTTTTAAGATACATGTAAGCATCATTCAGCAAACTTCGGCTGATTCCGTCGCCTATATCAAACATTGGCTGTACGAGGAAACTTAATATGTGTATCCGATGAACATTCGTGATTTACTGCCTAGGGAAAATGTCACGCTTTTAAAAAAAATAATAATAAAGCATCAGACACACCGACAAATAATCTGCAAACATGCATTACAAAAGGAACATTTATCCTATCTCTGATGTTTTGGAGGTCCGTGTTGGCTTTGCTCCTATTTTTATTGTTAATTAAGCTTGAAGTACTATTCGTTTTTTCCTTATATTTCATGAGAAAAAGGTATTTGTACCCGGTGTTTTCTTCATATTCAATATGAAGACCACCTTTAACTAAAATTATCTTAATGTAATGAAGTGCAGTCTTATCTAAATAAAATAATACTGATTTAATTTTCAGATTAAAGGTGGACTGTTATCGATAATGTTGATACATCCATATTTACTATATGCACTCTATGTAGACTGAATGATTTTTATAGATACCTTATGAGGAAACTATTAACAATTAAATATCATTTTTGTGTGATCTGGTATGGCAAATGTATATATAAACTAAACCTGTATGAGAAAATTGTGGTTAAAGAAAGTACTTTATAGAAACCACTACTAAATTAAAGTAGGCGAAATGCTTACCAAATGAACCATGACTCTTTGGTTACATAGTGTGACAATCATTCGATTTTCAACTTTAACCTTTACAAATGTCTTTGACCTCCTTACTTTTGCTTCGATTTTCATCTCAATCAGTATCAAACTCGTAATCAATTTTAGATCATTCTTAATTAAAAAACAATACTTATATATGAAGTATCCAGTTAATACCTTTGCATTTTAGGCAACAATATATAGTGCATGTATCAGGAAGTTACTGTTAGGGATGATGATTTTAACAGCAGATTTTGAATTGTCAATTAAGAGAAGAGTTATACAACTCATAACATTCTGTTTCAAGGAATTTCCAATTTTCTTTATTTACTTACAGTGTCCGTAGTTTTGAAAGACCATTAAAAGCATTTCCCCGTATTGTTGATAAGTTGTTGGCGAAAAGGATTCTAAAAGAAATTAAGATTTAAATCATACGCATAGATTAATGTTATAGATTTTTTAAATTTCTATTAATTGAGAGACTTTAAAATACTTATTTCTGTCAGTCCTCCGTACTAGTTTATCGTGTGTACGAGGGGCTATCAAAAAGTTCATGGACTAGCGCCATAAAATTAAAATCGCTTTAGGTGCGTCAATGAATTTTAAAATATAGTTATCATCATCTTTTCGTTCTATAGAATAAACCACAAATCCTAAATTTTACTTTTAAATAAATTATTAAAGTTTTTGTAAGCAATGCTATGTCCAGGCGGCGCAACCTCAAAAACGACGTTTTTTCGACATAAGTGTAACTAAGATAAACATTAGACATCCAAATATACCATTATTTCAGGTATGTGTTGGGACACATGAAGTATGGAATTTTTACCACACTCTGGAAGTTCTATGAAATTTTATTGTAAATTTTACATGGAGTATCCAAACAAATATTGCCTTGAAAATGACGTCAAAGGGGGGAGGGGTTTCCTTTTCCACTTTTCTTTGAGGTTTTGCCCCCTGGAAAACTGGTATACACCTAGAAAAGTTTAAACTGGCTACGGAGAAATAATTTGCATCCATATTACTTGTTTTTAATGCAAAAACAGACTCAGAGAGGAAAGGGATTCAATGTTAGTGTCGATTTGTAGTCAAGGACTTAGGTTTGAAAAATCTATCACGTCAAATAATGATGTTGATCATATGTTTTAGGTAAATTGAACTCTAAAAAGCAAATATGCTGACACAGTCAAGCGAGAATCTCTCCCAATGTATTAATCCATTTATAAAAAATTTATGCATTGAAAGCTTCTGTTCATGACATTGTAAAGTCAAAACAAGACGGGTTGAAGTCCATACTCAGCTTTAGGGAATCTCATCAAAATAAGTGTACGATGTAGAAGAAGTGGACAATAAAAATAAATGACGTTGTTGGACGTCATGAAACTAAGCGGCAGCGCCGGGTAATCATATAATGTCGTTTTTATTTATTATAATAATAATAATCTGTAAAAATAATGAACGTATCAAGCTTAAATTTTCAACATTTCTTTATTTTTTGTTTCTTATAAATTTTGTAAGCGCAGACTACATAGTACTGTCGTTTACTAATTATAGGATTAGAAATTCAAATAATGAGTACACGCTATTTCTAATTCAATAACAAGTTTGGCTTTCCAGAAAGCCTGAAATGTCATCTCTTTGGTATCAATAATGTCAAAGAAATAAAACAGAAAGGGAAATATATTAATGCAATAAATATATGGATTATTACACCTGAAGTCCCCAAATGACTTATTCAGCAAAATCCACAGTAAAGTACGCAGTAACTGTTTCTTTTGGCCGCAGTACATATATGGAAAGCATGGACGTCTGCGAGAGCACCCAAGGCGATTTTTAGTGAAATTTGATTCTAGCGTTCTTTGTGCTTCTGGGTTTTTACAATTTACTTAAATTCAAATACTTTCCTTGAACTATATTTTCTTAACACAATACGGAATTATCAACAATAATTATAATTCATTTAAAAGCAGCTAATCATTAAAATTTGACAGGAATTAATTTAGTAAATCCAATTACAGACTAAAAAATTAACATAAAATTAGCGTTGACCACTCTTCATACATTTTTTGCAGAATCTAATTGTAAGCTTGTTCTTTTGTGCGAGAACCATTTTTCCGATCGCGTCAACAAATCCATATATAGAAATCAAGTTATTGTCAATTCTCCTTGTGTGGCTTACCAATTTAATAAGGCAAAGTATTGAGGATCAATATATATACGACACACCGAAACTATAGATATTTATAAGCATCGTACTTCTTTTCTAAATTTTCCTTGGCTTTCAAATAGGCCTAAACCGAAAATAGGTCACACACTCCTAAGCTAGTTCTTCTAAAAGAAAACCAGTTTACAGGCTACTTGGAACTCTCTAAAACATCGAGGACTCCCGAAAGATTAATGGAGGCTTACACTAGGACTTCACTTCCGACATTCAATCTTAATGTGTCATCTCCCGAGGGAGATGACAATTAGTAAATGACAGTACTAATTTTATAGCCCCAGTCCACGAACATTTTGATAACCCCTCGTACATGATTTCCATGATTATAAGCTTGTAGCTGACAAAACACACCTTGAAATTTTTACATTTGTTATCACAGAAACTTGGTAAATATATTTATTTTTTCTAGTTTAATAAGTTTAAAGTTAACACAAACAAACTTTACTTTTTTCTTTTACTTTAAAATCCTGGCAATATAGGGAATTAAAATTTTCAGAATTGTTGAACGTTGTGTATTACATCATACGTGGAGGTTTGTTCCTGTAACGTTGATACTTGATCCGGGTTAAAATTGACCTGGGGATCATTTTTCAACGTTGAACACTAAGACTAAAGGTTTTGAATTTGGACCCTAGTCCGTTGAAAACGGAGCCGGTGTAAAGACGAATAATTACCCCCATCGAATAATGACCGGGGGTCATTTTTCGACAGCGAAAAATGACCCCCGGTCATTATTCGACGTCGAAAAATGACACTTTTGCCCGTAGAAAAAGTGTCACCACCCTAAAAATTTGCAGAACCCATGTGAAGAAAAATGACCCCCGTAGAAAAATGACTCCCTGTTGCTTAAAGCTGAAATTTTTAGGGGGCAAAAAAATTACTGAGATAAGGAAACATATTGGCCAAAATGCTCACCTGAGCTAAGTGGGAATAATTTATGATATGTTGATCTCATAACATTATACAATTATAGCTATATTTTAAGGTCAATACCATGATTCAGAATCTAAAGGAGTAAAAGATTTATAGAGCCTAAAGGGTTAGGTAAACATTTTTCGATGGTGAAAATCATCCTACTGACAGAAAAAATCAGCAGTATTATATTTTATTATTTCCTCCGCTTGAAAAGCGGGAGGGTTTAGTGATCGGGATGTCCGTCCGTCTGTTACACTTTGGGGTATCTATCTCTTATCCGCAACTCCTCTAATATATATAAAAAAAAAAGATGTGTTGGTGAAACAGCTATGCCCCTGTAAACTTTTCTTAAATGCAATTTAAATATATTAGTACCCAAAGTAGAGTCTTCTCACAAAAAAAAAATACAAAATAGGAAAGCCTTAGCACCACTTGTTCAAAAGTAATGGCTAAGGATAAGTTTTTGAAAGGTAGGTCAAATTCAGAGGTCAAAGGGTCAAAGTTGATGGTTTCTTAAGAAAGGTTAAATGTAACAAGGATTACATATGTGAAGCATGAAAACCCTAGCCCTTACCGTTCAAAAGTTATGGCCAAGGTTAAAGTTTTTTTCATAAGTACGGAAATCTCCGAAGTCAAGGTCAAAAGGTCAAAGTTTTTATTTAGTATCTAATGAAAGGTCATGCCAAAAAATACATATGTGAAGTATGAGAGTACTAGTATCTACCGTTTAAAAGTTATGGCCAGAGTAAAGATTTGGCATTTTTTGTAAAATTGGACAAACTCCAAGATAAAGGTCAAAAGGTCAAATTTAGTGGTACCCAAAGTAAGGTCTTGTCACAAGGAATACACATATTAGATATGAAAGTCATAGCTGTTATGGTCAAGGTTAATGTTTTTGCGGACAAACAGACTGTCAGATAGACAGACAGACATACAGATGGACACGATAAAACTATATACCCCCGAATCTTCGATTACGGAAACATAAAAAGAAATGGTCTTCAATTAACTTTTCATATTATGATACAGTATAAAAAAGACGTTGCAAAAATGAAAATGTTTGTTCTGATTTTCATATAAAAAATATATTCAGAACTGAGTACATGGGTGGAGTAAAACAAGAATTAAGAAATGTATTGGATACTGTGTGCTAAATCAAAAGGTTATATCTACATGTATAGTGTTTGCATTAGAATGTGTATTTTACACTAGCCCATATATACATGTAGCTTTACAGAGCATATTTTTAGGTGTTATACCCACCCCACCCCACCCCCTTACTTATTTAGGAGGAAGTCGATTATTGATCAACAAAAGCTACAAAAAAACTACCCTACCTTTATTTTTCTATAAGGAGGGACTAAAAATGAGCTTAAAATAATCTACTGGGCCGCGTTTCACAAAACTTACGATCATCTTTTAAGATCTGATTATGACAATCATAAGATTTGTCACTGCTGTTTCACAAAACTATCTTAAGTATATGAAATCTTAAGACAAGTCTTAAGACATGCATATTCCAATTCTTCAATATCACAGGAATTTAAAAAAGTTTTCACGAGGTCTTTCTTTAATTTTCATTGAAATATTGAAATAATGTTTGTCTCATATAGTTTATTTTGCTGATAAACCCTCGAAAAAAAACAACAAAATTTATTGCATCAATTAAAGTTAATGTACTTTGTGTGTGTGTGTGTGTGTGTGTCGGAAAGGGGATGGGGTCATTAAAATTAAATTTGAGTTTATTTTTCACAAAAAATTAATAAAATTTGCTGAAATGTCTTTTTGCTCGGGAAATCGATTTTTGACAAAATGCATGTGATCACTTTTAATTAAAACTACTGAAGCTTTGCAAATAATGAAAGATTTTTTTCAATTAATCCATTTAAAACACTAAATTGTGTTCAAAGTTCGTTCATAAATTTTTTCGATGCAGTAGCCCTTTTTAAAGAAAATCTTACAACTAAGAGCAAAACTTCTCCCCCATTCAACAACAATATTTCAGCTGCCAAAATCCTTTTTTTCTATTACATTACAGAAATATTTTATGAATAAATTTGATTCAATTATTTAGAAAAATATTTTTATCAAATCAAAAAAAAGAAAGTATGGTAAAATTTAAGTCTTAGTAGTATTTTTTTTGTGTGTGTGTGTGTGTCTTTAAAATGATTCAACTACTGCAACAAAATAACAATGTCAACAGATGAAGAAGAGAAACAAAAGAAAAAACACATTCAAAATTTTAGGGTTTCAATATGATTAAGAAAAAGCATAATGAAAGCAAGTGCATACAACATCAACTATTACAGCATATTGAATTGTCATACACATTCCTGTGGATTAATAAGGATACCTCATCTAATTTTGTATAACTGAATAAAATGTTTAATTTGAAATTAAATCACCACAATTAAAATATATAAAAAAAACATTTATATATTGTCTGCCACAACGTAACAAAATAAACTAAAGTAAATTTCATGGACTTATCAAATCCATAAAAAATACAAATGGTCCAAAGAAGCATTTGGGGATTATGGGGGCACAACCAAAGAAAATGTCTTGAAATGAATAAAGTGGAAATACATAAAGTAGGTTCATTTTAGTTTTTCAGTCGTATATTTTTTGGCAATTTTTGTTTGGGGGGTGGGGTGGGGAGTGTCATTGTTCTGACTGGCCAGATATAGTCCAAAGGCTTGTTCTATCTCTAAAACCCGTTTTGTTTAAACATCCTTCGGTTTTTAGCCAAAATACATATATGCTGTCACATGTTTCACTTTAGACTTAAAGCTGAACACTACTCGTAAATAGGCATAGTCCGCCATATTTCTCGTTCTTCGACGCTCTCCCTACAACTCGTATATAAGGAGCAGATCGCTAGTCAGTTCAATGTATTTTACTACAGAGATCCGACGAGTGCAGACGTATATCTTACAAAGCGTGCTACTCAATATCGATGAAATTATCAAATTTTACGTATTTTTTCCAAAACAGGACAAAAGTATCATAAAAAATACAGGTCAATACATTATTTTCAAACAGAAAATGCACATAAAATCAAGAAATAAACGCAAAAAATCTAAGACCACGATAGGAGTACTACATGTCGGCCACGACTTTCGAGTGTGCAATCAGGTGTAACGAAAGCGAGCGGTTTATATACCCGTCTGACAGTGCCTATTTATGAGAAGTGTTCAGCTTTAAGACATGTATCTGGTTGTCTTAAGATTCTGACCAATCTTACGATTATCATAAGATATGACAGTTTTGTGAAACGGCTATGGTGCAATCTTACGAAAATTTTCGGTCTTAAGACAGATCTTAGTCATAAGATAGTTTTGTGAAACGAGCCCCTGATTGTTACATGGTTTGATTTCTAAAAACAAGTGGAATATCATTCTTTAAGCAAACATTATAAGGAGAAATATTAAAAAGGAATTTTATTTACTTGACAATTAAAGAATATCTTTTCAAACACAATTTTAGCACTGAAAGACAACGTGAATCCTTTAATTGATTGTTAATTGCTTTAAACTGATTTGTCAATATTTCGGAAGAGAGAAATGAGAAACTTTATTACCCCTACGTGATAAGAAGAACAAAAATTAAATCTATTAGAATAAATGCATAAATTACTCGATCGAAGAACAATTATATTTTACATCATATTTTTTCCTTTCACCTGTTATACATTTTGTATCACTTTAAAGGGGGTCATTTTTCAATGGGGGGTCAATTTTTTTTTTAGGACTAACATATAAAATAATGACCCTAGGACTCTTTTTCTACAAAAAGTGATTTTTTTTCTATGGGTGGGGGTCATTTTTTGTCGTTGAAAAATGACTCCCGGTCATTATTCGATGGGGGTCATTATTCTTCTTTACACCGGGTCGTGGAATTTTGATGTGACACCAGTTCTTATTTCATCAGCATACTGGTTTTCAGAACTATGATTTAACACATAAGCGTCGGGAACGTGTGTGCAAGGGGGGGGGGGGGGGGGGCTATGGATACTTAGCCCTCCCCCAACTGTAGAAAATTTAAAATCATCGTTTTTTTCCAAAACTCAGTAACATCAAAACGTACAACTTTTATACACTCTAAACAAGCATTCTTCACGACAAAGTCAAAACTATACATTTTGTAGACATCAAAGACAACTGTTTTCTCTACGAAAATGGAACTCGGCATTTGTGAAAGGTCATCAACGAACATCACTTTGTTAAAAATCACCCTGAATCTACGTAAAGTATTTTGAAGTTGATATTAAAAGGAAGGTGGAGTTCCATATCGACACCGTTTTTGCAGTCTTCGGAGACCGATTCTTCCTTCAAACCTTGGAATTGGAATGATGGGCACTAACTGTGCTCCTTTATTGGCCGACCTGTTTTAATGTTTCTATGAAGCAGAATCAGAATATATTTTACAAAAATTTTACATGAAAGCAGAAAACACTTCTTCATATTTTACAAGTGAACTTTCTGTATTTGTAAAGTATTATCCCGCAATCACCCGTTTATAGTACGGCGGGTAATTAATCGTTGCATTATTATACTTTGTTGCTATTCTTATTCAAAAAGTTTGTTTTTCTTTTTCTTAATCGTGTAATTTCTTTTCCATAAAATATGATTCTATTCGATAAGTTCTTATTCTTGTACGAAAATAATGGTATTTCTGTTCCGAGAAATCAGCACCTTTGTTATTCTATTCGAAATATGTCATTCCTATTCGCAAATTTTGTAATTTCAATTCGATAATAAAATGACTTATATTCGATAATCATGTTAAACAGGTCATTCCTATTTAAATGTAGTTTACAACCAGTTTTAATTTTGTCATATTTCCCAGAATGCAATTATTGAAAAGAATAAGATAAACGTCGCATAGGAGACATAAGATAAGAAATTTATCGAATGGGAATCTTATTTTTTTTGCATAGAAATGAATGTTAGTATGTTTTTAAACAATATCTTTATTGAGGAATCACTGTCTAGTTTGTGTAGTATGCCAGGGCATCAACGATAGTGGGAAACATGGGATAATTTGCATAACAGCGAAGCCCGTCCATGGAAATTCCAAATTATATACCAGGTAAGCATAAAATTCAGTTGTAAATTTTAGTTCAAATATAGAAACGAACAATTCGGTGGAACTCATCGATCATACAACGATCCAATGATAAGTTGTATAGGTTGTAATCGGTCAGAGGGGATTCTCACTCCTCCATGGCACCTGATCATCTCTGATGTTTCGGAGGTTCGTTTTTGCTCTGCTCCTATTCTGTATTGATTAATTGACTTTGATATTGAATACTGTTCGTAATCTCCATATCCTTCTTTTAAAGAAATCAATAAAGCGATCATTAGAATTTTAGTAATGCTGAATTGAAATAGGTCAGCTAAATCCCTAAAACATTAATTTAACTTCCAGTAGGCGTCCTCGGCTTAATAATTCATCATAATCGGAGTATGCCCTCAAATAAATTGGGATGTGTTAAAAGTATATACGAGATGTAGGTGATAGCGGAATATTACTTCACTACTTTTGGATAAGGTTTTCTTTCTGATCCTCCCTTTGTACATTGTACATCGCCTTAAAAAGGATATTAGAGGAGGTGATTATCAAATGATTGATTCATCTTTACTATATAATGATAAGAGGCCCACCTAAAGACAGGAAGCCCTGACGCAAGGGCCATGGCATTCATAACTTCGGAAAAGGCACCCTTGGTTGTAATAATTTTACATTTAGTTTCTTTGCGTAATACGCCGGAGCAGAGGAGAAGATTTTCAAAGAAATAATGCATTTTCAATATATAATCATATGAGCCCGTCTTAGCACCGGAATCCCGTATCCTGGGGCTAGGCATTTCACATAATTTTAAGAGGTCTTAATGCAAAATATTGCAATCAAGTCAACAGAATGACTGCTTGGTGTTCAGGTGATTTTTTGAGTTTCAATCCCACCCCTCAACATTTTTACTGTCCTTCGCCATAGCTGTTCTATGCCAAAATTGGCTGAAAATGGTACGATATTAAAGAGAAGAAGTTGCAAATGTTCAAATTTTAATGCACAGCAAGCCACACACGATGCACACAGACTGGCGAAAACTGACAGCAACAGGTCATCTAAGTTAATGATTCGTATGACCTTAGAAGAGAAAAAGGAAGCGACTGTTTCTTTATTTTAATTTTACAAATTCTGCATTCCCTTTTATTAGTTTAATATTAAGTCAATATAACCATCTTAAAATCCACACAGTCTAGGTACACATTGAGACATGCTTACTGGTATTTACTTACAATTCATAAGTGTCTTTTGGGAAGTTGGCAGGTATCTCTGTTAATGCTTTACTAGAGCAGTCAACCAAAATCCCTTTAAATAACCCGATACTGTTAAAATACTTTGTACAGTTACACGCTTCAGGACAGACTCCAGTCACGGATTTGTAAAACAGGACACAAAGAACAAAAGTAGCAATCATCTTTCAAATAAAAAAGTGGGTATATCAACTATATATCTTTCTTTGCATCCAACAATCCAAATGTATACATTTTCTGATTTGTGTATATATATGTAATGTAATGAGGAAGTATTTTAAAAATTACAACACTTTAGTAACTTAACATTTAACGCCTTTCTGAGAAATTTCATCACAATAATATATTTCTGGTATTTTCGATAATTTGACTTATAATAATGGGGCATTGAAACAAGGAGAACTAGAGGTAACTAATGCGAGCAATGAGCTACTTAGATATTACCCCCACTTACATATGATACTTGGCGAAGTCTATCTTTTGCTTTGGAAGACCCGAAATTAGTGTCAGATCAAAATGTAAAATAGGTGTGCAAAATGACATTACGCAACAAAGAATCTGTAAAATTACCATTAAATTTTATTCAGTGGTATAGGAGGAGCTGCGAATAAGAGATAGGTACCCTTCAATATTATAGGAAGAATGGCAGTGCCCATATTTTGTCATGCGAACCTTAAGATATGTTTCGGATCAAAATGTAAACAAGATATGTTTGTAAATCACTGATGCCCACGTATGGCAACATAATTGTTATGGCAAACTCACAGGAAAAACAATTCCGAAATATGAAAGAAGGACAAGTTTTTTCCTAAGTACAGACATCTACAAGGTCAAAAGATCAAGTAAATTGGTATCTTACGAAAAGCTATCTTCCTACAAGAAATACATAATTATGTGAGGTATGGAAACCCTAGCCCTTACCCTTAAAAATAATGTCCAAAAACTTTTAAAAGTAGGTAAAATTCCAGATCAAATGAAAGGTCTTGTCACAAGAATTAAATATGTAAAGTATGAAAATACTACGTGTAACCCCAACCATTTAAAGCTTATGGGCAATGTTTGCTTTTCAAAAGTAGATCAAACGCTAAGGTCAAGGTCAAAGGGTCAAAGTTCTTGGTATCCAATAAAAGGTCTCTTCACAATGATTACATACGTGAAGTATGAAAGCCCTATCCCTTACCGTTTAAAAGTTTTGGCTAAGGTTTAAGTTTTTTCATAAGTACAGAAATCTCCAAGGTCAAGGTCAAAAGTTCAATGTTGTTGGTAACTAATGAAGGGTCCGCAAAAATACATATGTGAAATATGAATGTCCTGGTTTCTACTTTTCAAAAGATATAGCCCAAGTAAAAGTTGGGAAATTTTGTGATAAAGTGAGGCAAACTTCAAGGTCAAAAGGTCACATTTGATGGTACCCTAAGAAAGGTCTTGTGACTTGGAATACACATGTAAAATATGAAAGTCATAACAGACAGACATACAGACACGACAAAAACTATATACCCCAGAAACATTGTTTACGGGGTCATAAAAATAGGTGTGCAATTACATTAATTATGCGAAATTGTTATAGGATAAAAGATGGCTAACCCAAAGCTAACAGGCATAAGTCAATGTAATATTAACTTGCTTGTTTCTACTTCTGGTACACTTCCAATATTTATTGATTTATTGATAATTGAAGTTATAAGACTAGAGTTGTAAGTACGCCTGCAGAAATGTAGAAAAGAAATCAGTTAATATTTCATCAAGGCTGTTGCTTTTCATTTACTGGGACATTTAAGGTCTTCTTGTTATGTATAAGCACATTTTATTAAATAAGAGTATTTTTATACAAATTTCAGTTTGAATAAAAATATTTTTTCTTCAAGATTTGACGTGAAACATGATATCATATCAAACAAATTATAGATTGTAGTGCCTCCACTTGATTTCATCATCACGATAAAACATACGGTATAAGCAGAATTTTTGGCGAGGATTTAATTTTGGCATTATTAGCGAGAGTGTTGAGATCGATAAAATTGAATATCGCTAAAAATAATTGCGTCTAATTGTAATAGTTTCTTTAATGAGCATTTAAAAATCGCTAATATTGCATCTTGCTAAAAATAAACTACCACTTTTTGGAGAAATCTCTAAATGTGCGTCTCGCTAAAATTTCCACTTATACGGTATAGAAAAGAGTCGGGTAGAGATAGAGGAGGGTGACAATATTATTTTTAAAATTTTCAACATATGCAGGTAGCTATCAAAGTAAATGTCTGGGATTTAGACTTTTTAGTTAAAACCATTAAATGCTTGCAAGTATCCACATTAGAGATACTCAGTACTTGTATTCCTGATTGCAACGAACTTGGAATTTGGAAAGATGACTGATGTTCAGTTATAATATGTGTAAAATACATTATTCTTGAAAGAAATCTTAAGTGAAATTAATAACACAAAAAATATATATTTTGAATAAACAGTACTCTCAGATTCGTAAAGGGTGTAAAGTACAGTCTGGTGAAGTGGCGAAGTTAATAATGACATACATACAACAAGATCAAGTGGATACCTAAAAATGTCAAACAAAAATACTAAGACTAAGGTTTTCTATTTGTAATTCATCTACACCCTACTCCGAATAATCCGTATTTTTAAATAATTATTTCCCTTTTACAACATATGACCAACGCTTACGTCCCAAGATATTCTGATAAATTTTAAGCTCTTAGATATGCAGCAGATGATTTGTTTGAAAGAACTAAAATCATGAGAGCACTCAGAAATTTTCCTCAAAATTATAAGCATGACTTTTTCCAGTCGAGAAGACTTCTCAAAATACTTCCTGTGTAACAAACTTATAATTGACTTACTCATTTTAATCAATCTTACGGGGTCTACTCCGCTATTCACTTAAAAAATGTTGCTTTAATCTTTTTTTAAATACATCTGATATGAATTAAAGTTGAGAACAAATTAACATAGATTAGGGTTTATGATGGAAAAATAGTTAATGTAATTTACCTCAATAAAAGTTATCTCTTGATCGGAGGGTATATTAAGGTTACATGTAATTTTGGTAGAAATACTTAATTATTATAGTTTTTTAGATTTTGAAATATCTGAAGAAATCTCGAGCAGTATTTTTACCATGTAATCAATGCATGGTTCTATCAGAATTGAAATTGAATATCATGTTGAACAAGATGTTTTTGTGGAACACTGATGCCCCCAGTAAGGCAGCTTATGGCGAGTGTTGAATTATATAAAATACATATCAAACTGCAAAGGTCAAGGTCAGAATGTCAAAAATATTGATACCCAAGGGAACGTTTTTTTGCAAAAAATACACCTGTGAAATATGAAAGATTTAATAGGTAGTTCTAACTTTTCCAAACTAATTAAGTTCCTCGCAGGATTTACATTTATATGAAAGTACACAAGTAATGATGACGTAGAAAAAACTTACGCACCATCTAGCGTTAATTCAGGTAATGTCTGGGGGGTCACGCCATCTAGGGTCAATTCAGTGCATGATTGTTGGTTTTGCATTGGTGATCATTGGTCTTGCATCGGAGTCTGTTTTTGCAAACAAGTCTTTGGATTTTGTTTAAGGATGTCTGGGTTTTTTTTCAGTGTGTTTCTAACAATTAGTTGATAGTTTTGCAGTAACGTCTTTTTTTTTACCCTTTTCGCATCCCATAGGTGTGGCATTTTATTTCAACAAACTTGAAGTCCTTTCACCCAAGATGATTTGTGGCAAGTTTGGTTGAAATCGGCCAAGTGGTTTTTAAGAAGTCGAAAATGTGAAAAGTTTACAGACGGACAGACAGCTAGACAGACAGACTACAGAAAAAATATGATCAGAAAAGCTCAATTGAGCTTTTGTGGTAGTGTAAGATACACAACTTCCTACTAGCTTGGGCTAGTGGGTTAAACCTTTAGTTTTATTGGGAGGGCATTGGACTGGCAAGCCAGACGCCCCGTGTTCGATCCCCAGCAAAGCCAGTAAATTGTTTCTGTTACAATTGGCGCCCACGTTGGGTTTCCTGTGTTCTATGGTGGGTAAGAGTAATTGCCCCTTGAACTTCGTCTCACATTTGTTTGTACTCCAAAAGAGATGAGGACATTTTATTCTAAATGGAGAGGGACAATATGGTACTGTAAGATACACGGCTTTCTAATGGGTTAACCCTTTAGCTCAATTGGTAGAGCATTACACTGGCAAGCCAGAGCCCCGGGTTAGATCCCCAGCAGAGGCAATATATTGTCTCTTTTACACTTTCAGCTCATGTGATCTAATAACCATTTTTCAAAGGGAAATATCAGGAGTATTATTTTGGACGGGTTCGGTTGTCAGTACGTTTAGTACATTTATCACTACGAAATTCCACTCTATTGATCACCTTTACACAAACCACTTACGTCACTACACATTTCATCATCAGTTTGTACTATAACTTATTGCATTGACTAAAAACAAGATATAGTTATAAACATTAAAACATACTAGATTTATTGTGTAGTTACATGTAATTTAGTTATTAGACGTCTACAGCTGATGGTGTGTGTGATCCTTTATCCCACTAGCATACCTTCCAACATTCTAAAAGAAAATTTATAGCAATTTCATATTATCAATTGAAATCATTCTCGGTTGCACACCTCAAACTCATGTTTCGTAGTTAGAAATACTGGTATGTTTTAAACTTACATGAATGAGGGATTCGAACAGGATGCATATAGAGATTACAATTGGAAAATGAAATATCTCCGATAATGGGAATTGAAAGAAATTACAAAAAAAAAATTCTTTGAATGCATAAAATATTAACAAGAGCAATTTAAAACAAAAGTGCGACATAGTAAATAAGACATTTAAAGTAACCTTATACTTTAATTATGAATCTTAGAAAACGAACATAGTAACATGTATATAAGGATGAACGTCTTCGACAACCTCCTCACGATCGAAATACATGACTTGTATTCTAGATTTAGTAAACAAAACATGTTTTTACGGTCCTCTTCATTTTTATGATAATGTGTTGTTGAACTAAATTGAAACAATTCGTCGTTGTTGTGATATAGCATTGATAGCTTTACTGTTTTAAAAACAATGCTGTAGACTTTTTGATGTATAATTTCATCCACGCAGCACTGAGTGTCAAATTTCCCTTAATTGCTTAAAATTGACTCCTTCTTTTAGCAAAAATTTCAAAAGTGTCTCGCCACGAACTTCTAGCAATCTGGATTATGATAAAGGTACTCTTACTGCTTAACTAAAATGTTCCTTACATGTATTCTTATTGCCCAGAGACATTTAGTCTTGTTATATCTCTTCACTCAATATGGAACATCTTTGCCCATTTTCTAGCTACATAGTAGATTGTCTCTTCGTTACGTTGACATTTTTGTCCTTGACCCGAGATCATAAGGAATCTTAAGCTTCAGGCAATAAATGTATATGGATTTGCAATTATTTAGACCCTATGCAGCACAAAATGAAAACGGTTTCCAATTTTGTATCATCAGTCTGCTTTCGTATGCAAATAAAGAGATTCAACAAATTTTCAACTTTTGCAGATGTTTAAAATTTCAACTTTTAAGTCTATGTCGATTTCATGATGGTAAAAGACAGACCTTGGCTTTCCCATTTACTGAGAAGGTCAGTCTTTATCTTGACATTTGTTGTGATATCACGAAATCGAAACCATGAAATGCTAATGCTTACATTATCTCAAGTTACGAGGGTTGATCCAAAAGTAATGTCACGGTGTCAAAATCTTTTAAATTTGGCGTCATATTATCAAATATTATATACCAAAAGATGCACAAATATAAATTTTATTAAACTTTAATTTTTCATTCAATAATGTTTAACTGAGTTTATTTTATATAAGTTTAAATCATATAAGATAGGGGGTGTCGCCGCGTCAAAACCGAACGTCACAAATTAAAGTGTACTTTTGTAGCATAAAAAAAGACAAACACTTAAAAGGCATCTTTTAAAAGCGCCTAAACGCAAAATACTTTAAAAGACAAAAATTAACATCATTTTCTAGTCTTCAATTGTAAATTATATGACATCACTGCTATTTTTTATGGAAAACATCGTTGATTTATTCCGGTGCATTGAAAAAAGGAACTGTCAAAATGGACAAAAAAGCCAAAACAAACTGTAATGCATTTTTGCTTCAAAATGGAAAATTCGCCAGTAGAGACAGTTACGTTGATTCACCAGACTTTCGGAGGAAAGAATGTTATTAAGAGACTTGTTTAGATGGCTTCAGCGATTTGTCGGTGGGTGATGGGTCATTAAATGCTCAGCAGATGACAAGAAAACCAAAAGATGGGAGGGCGGTTGGAAATGTTCAATGGTGTGTGGCGTTGTCAAAAAGACAGACGGACAGACGATATGTGAAAATTTAAGTTGGTCTTTTACTACTGTTCAATGAATTTTGACAGAAATAATTATAAAATAGTGAGTGTACGATGGGTACTAAGGGTAAGAAAGTGAAATTTGTGAACGTGTTCATGGATATTAAATCTCAAATATTTTTAATGAAACGAAGAGAAGCGTTCAAATGTATGACGGCGCGTATCCGTCATATGACGTTATTCAGCTGCGGCGACTACCATAATCGCACGTTGTATATAAACCGATATTTTGAAAAGTATAAATCATGTTGCATTGAAATTTTCAGGTCTGATTTAAAATAAATGTAGCTTTCATCATTATTAATTTTGTTGTTTTGCGTCGACGGATAGCGATTTTATCGAAGTTGTGACATTACTTTTGGATCAACCCTCGTAAAATCACAAATACAAGGATGGTACTAGTATGTCCAAGATTTTGAACTTACTCATTCTCACAAATAAAATTGACATGGTGTCCGCAGTATTTATCGTTCCATAGAAATCCGTAGTGATTCCAAAGCGTACCACAATCTTCATTATTTGCATAATTGTCCGGTAACCCCGGGCCCCAGTTGGTGTACGTAGCCACTTTCTGGGAAGACATCCACACCCACTCACCCTCTCTTAGAATATCAGAAAGTCCCATCCAAAATTGACCTAAATTATAAACGGTATTTAAACGCTGAAAAGTATCAACCATGCACTTTTTAGAGATAATTAATTTGATCGAGTGTGTGTAATATGACATATACTCCTGGGGTGCTTCATATATTTGGACATATTCTATCTCAACTGACAAGTGATACTTAATGCTATTTTAAAACCAAAAGAACGGTCTCCCTTCTCCTATCGTAATATGTCATAATAACTCGTGAAGTTGAGATAACCCTCAATCTCAGAATAAAAATGGAACAAATACTTAAATGTCATTCTTGCCATTGAGGGTTTTGAAAGCAATGGACTTGACCCCTGTCAATTTTTCTTGGTCCAGTCAATTTAGCCTTAGAGATATGACATTAAGATATGAGAAATCAATTGATTGTTAACCAATAGGATATGGTAAAAAAAAATAAATTTTAAATTCAAACCAGTCATGATTTCAAAGAGTGTTTATCCAGACATGTTTTCAGTATCTTACTGCCCTGTACCTGGACCTAAATTCACTCAACAGCTTGGTTATGTTCGAACACAAGTTGGTGAACGGAAAGTCAAATAGAGGGGAAAGTGCTATTAAAGACAAATGACAAAGACTAATAAATATTCATTTATTGTAAGACGCATACTAGTATTCTACTAAAGTTGTTGCAACGATCGAAGAAAAGACCTGTCGCTGTGGCATATAGTAAGTAATCAAGATAGGGCCATGTAGTTTACTATCGCAAAATTGAGCATTGACTTAGGTCGCTGGTGCGATAATGCGATGACCGGATTACGATAATGCGATGGCGCTACAATGCGATTACGATGATGCAATACATTTGTTCTTTTATGAGAATAAAATATCATAATGGTTTTATACCCGATAAAACTCAAGGAGAACAGGATTGGAGAGGAATGTAGTAAAACGAATGATTACGACAAAAACACTGCAATAATTCAACCTGATTTGGGTTTTTTTAACAAATGACAGCTTCCGATGTCACCAAAACCCGACTTGGGCGAGAAATTTTCGCAATTAGTCTGAAAGTGTCCCGAAGCGGAATCCAACATGATGGTTAGATCCATGCCTTGTGATGTTTATAGTATAGTAGATATATGTTTTTACGCGCTTCATTATTCATTTGGTATACATACTTTGCGTATTGAGCTCTTTCAAATGACACCAAGGATAATGACCTTGCGACCATGACTGTGACCTGTTTGCTAAATACAGCTTTTTCGAAATTTTGCCATAACTTTTGAACCATAGAATACAGGGTTACACATATAATATCACATTCAAAAGTAATCACCAAAGTTTTTTGGGGGTGGAGGGATTGGTCATAGTCAAGGGGTCAAAATCTCTCCATGATTGAAAACACAGGTATTGCAATGTCAAAAAAAGAGAGAATTATCGTTTCTGGATCAAAGCTTATAAATAATAATTCCCATGGGTACCAATTGCGCTCCGTTATTAGCAGAGCAATTTTTGTATTCATATGAAGCAGATTTTTTGCAAGATCTAAAGCGTGAAAAGAAGAACACTTGCTGTGGCCTTCAACTAGACACTTAGATATATCGACGACGTATTGTGAATTAACCATGGTAATTTCCATTACGATATATCCTGGTAAGCTTGAGATAAAAGATACGACAGGGTCTGACACAATCGTTTCATATTTGAATATTATACTTGAAAAAGAAGCAAATGGTAATCTAACAACCAAGCTGTATGATTAACATGAAAACTTTTCTATCGTCAACTTCCCTTACGTATGCAGCAATATACCTTCATCACCTGCATACGGAGTTTATATATCTTCCCGATCACGACAGAAACACACGGCGGGTGTAACCGGTAGGCAGGCGATGCTTACTCCTCCATGGCACCTGAACCCACCTCTGATGTTTTGGAGGTCCGTGTTTGCTCTGCTCTTACCTTGTATTGTTTTATGGACTGTAATATTGAATACTGTTCGTTATCTCCATATCTTTTATAAGCAAAGATAAATATTTTGAAAAGTACACGTATCATATGAAAAAAGTATCCATTCCCATTCAAAATTTATGACCAATTTAAAGTAATGTAAGAGTTTTTGAAAAGTAGCTTAAACATTAAGGTAAAGTGTTTTAAAAAATTTCGTATATTTCGAAAGGTGTTGTCACGGGTAATGTAAATGTACAAAATGTTAAACAATGAAAAGGGTATCAAACAGGGAAGTCTTTTTTTCTAAATCAAAAGGTTAAGGCAAAGATAATTTTTTTAATTATAGTACACCTGTATGTCAAACTTCAAGGTCATAGACTCGGGGTCAAAATCATAGTACGGGGATTGTTAGGTTCCTAATTTCGTAGCCTACTGTCCTAACATTTATATATTACGTAGAAGGTCAAACTCCAAGGTCAAAGTCAAAGTATCAAAGTGGTTGATATTCAATGAAAGGTCTTCTCACAAGGATTATATGTGAAGTATTAAAGCTCTAGCCCTTGCTGTTCAAAAGTAATGGCCAAGGTTAAAGTTTGTAAAAAAAAAAAAAGTAGGTCAAACTCCAAGGTCAAAGGGTAAAAGAAGTTAATCTCCTGTGAAAGGTCTTTTCACAAGAATTACATATGTGAAGTATGAAAGCCCTTGCCTTAACAACAGTTATGGGCAACTTAAACGTTTTTTCGTAAGCACAGAAATCTCCAATATCTAGGTCAAAGGTCAATAATGTTGGTTTCAAATGAAAGGTCTTGCCGCAAAGAATTGATATTTTAAATATGAATTTATAGTATTTACTAGTCATGCAGAGGGACAGACTGACAGACGCACGGACACGACAAAAACTACTAGTATAGAGTACCAAAACTTCGTAAACGGGGGCATAAAAATTTGTTATAGCAAAAACAACTCCACCCTTTTCATTACAGAGTAGCTTAAGGCATGTAAAAGCAAAAATCATGCAAGCAAAAAGACTACTTTTAAAATACCTCATGTAACCTAAAAACCAACCATGCTCCTGATGTTTTGAAGTTTGAGCGATAGAAATACTTTAAAATTGAATTAGATTTTCTGAGATTTTAAGATTTCTATGACACATGTAGATTTCCTGCAAAAATGAAAGGCATAAAAATTGTGTTTGTTTCTTGTAACATTTCCAAAAAATCAAGGGACGGTAGGTCGGGATTTCCTTTGTTTTTCTTATACACTTAACAAAACTTCTAAGTGTTCACTTTAAGAAATGTATTTATTTAAAAACTACTATATAGAATGGTATGATATTTTCACATTATTACATCAATTTAGTCTTTTAAACAATTGTAGAACGATAATTCAATATCACCGATGAAAACCAATGTTCCGTGACGAAGCTTTAAAACAAAACATCTGTACTTTGCAGCGCGTGTTTTGTGCAATAAGCATCTTTTTGTGATCATTATCAAATTTAAAAAACTGTTTTCACTGAAAAACACAAAACATTGGCAAAATAACCATTGATATAGAAGGGAGAGCCGTTGGAATATTGATATCTGGACCATCTTTACACCAAGTTTTACTCATTTTTATTTTAGTGCTTAATTGTACTTGATATTACTTTTAAAAATCATCAAACAGTATCAAAACCCATTTAAACACATTTTTCTATAGGCTGCGCTCATTTTTCATAACCATTTTATCACAATTTGAAAGTTTTTGGACAAAATTTAACCAAACCGGAAGTGACCTTAATCTTCATCTGAGGAGAAAATTTCGCGCTACACCAGGTTAAGAGAGTGTTTAAGTGTCCTGCAAAAATCTTAGAAACATGGAAACAAACCATTTCAATCGTACGAAAATTATAAGAAATCGGGGCCCGTGGCAATCTTAAATCAGCTTAGGCAGTCTGAATTATCCTTAAAGCGGCGCACTTACGTGCTTAACACCAAAGGATATTGACCAAAAGGTACTTATGTGACGATATACTGTCAAATTCCTGGATATGAATTCCACTGAACAAATTTGGGATTTTAAAAGAAATCTCAAAGCCCCCCCCCCCTTTTCCTCATAATTTCAATGGTTAGGAAAGATCTATGCAGTACATGTAGGTGTGGCAACAGATGGGTCAATCTCATATTCAGGGGTACATGGTATCCAACAATAAAGATTGTCTTGAAGTAATTAGAGCGAGTAGTGGGTCTTTCTCCATCGAGATTTTTTGTGCGAATTTTCATTTTGAGGGTACATCATTTCCTTGACACTTTGCTTCAAATTCTGACGAGATACTTACATGAAATTTACGCAACATCGAACTTAAATATGCATCATTAACCAAGAATTAAAGAAATTATTTATTGTTCGTATTTGTTCTTTAAAACTTCAAAAATGTTAGGTGAACACTTAGAAGTTTGGTTCAGTGTAGATAAAGGACTCAAACGTACATCCCCTGACTGAACTAACCAGGTGTTATATTTACAGAAGACACCCAACATGGCTGCCTAGAGGCAGAAAAGTTGTGGGGGGTTCTTATTACAAGAAGGATTACTCTTTATATTTATGGAAAATGTTTACTACGTGTACAATATAGGTTGACATATTTTATTTCTCAAATACAGCTACAATTAACATTTTTTAAGAAATTTCATCAGCTGATCGATCAAACACAGATTTGGCAGGGAAAAAATCTGCCCATGTTTTTTTAAATGGGTCGGTCGGGTTACAGGAAACAAACTGAATACTTTTAAGGCCAAATCAACGAATACATGCAATAATTATGTTCCCCAAACGAAGTTTGGGAACATATTGTTTTTACTCTGTTTCTTATTATTATTTTTCTTCTTCCTGGGTACTTATTTGTCAGCGAATGATCTTGTAAACTATAGGTAAAATCTTTTTAGGGTAAGTAGACATGTTATGTAGATTTGCGGAATCAAGGTCATTTTGCGCGCACGTGCTTGCAAGAGCGCTCACGCGCAGCACGTAAAATGACCAATATAATTGATATAGCCGTAACTTTTTCTATTTTCTGATAAAATGTGTTGAAACTCAGAATATAAGAATATATTAGTATTATACACAAGAGGACATGGTCAAATTATCATGAAATCACGCGCATGCACGTGCGCTTCGCTCTGATTGGCTGAAACAAAAATCTCAATATCTTGTTCGTTTTTTGACGAAATACTTTGAAATTTAATTTATAGTCATGGATTAAGATATACGATATCGTATAAAATAATTTTCATGAAACCACACGCATGCACGTGCGCTGCAATATGATTGGCTAAAACTTTAAATGGCTATAACTCCCTTGGTTTTCAGACAAACAGGATGGAGTTTAGAACATAGATAGTCTTAATGGACCCTTACAAGAGGATATGGTCATCACGCACATGCATGCACGTGCAATACGTATAATTACAAACGCACTTGATTTAGCATATTTTCGATTACTTTTTGATTAAATGCCTTGATATTAAGTACATTAAAATAAATCAATAGTGTAGATACAATGATATGGTCATTCCGCAAATGCATGCAAGTATGCACATGTGCAATGCAAAAATTTGCTACATGTATATACTTGGTATGCTTTAGGAAAAACGTTGTTTAAGTTTAAGATGCATAGAGTTTAGTTTATTTGATGAAGCTTAGATGGAATGAGGCACCAAAATGAAGTTGGGGAGCGTTTGGGGAACATCTGTAACGGTTCCCGTTACAATTAGCACTAGTTTTCTACTGCGTTGGATGGAGTTTATGTCATGCATTACCATTTCCCTGCCACTGCCATTTCATTACAGCTTTTTACAATAAAAATTATGTTATATATACATGTAATAATAACTTTTCAGAGTCTTCCTTATGATTTCGTTTTAACTCTATGGAATACATGTAATTTCACATTTGTTTTTTACCGGTATAGTTGTTGTTCTTCAAATGTAAGCGAATAAACTCGTCCTCGGCAGCTGTCTCGATTTCCACCAATTTTGCTTGAAGAACATTACAGTGTGACTGTAAAGAAGAAAGACAGGGAAATACATGTACATTGCATTCGAGTTGTCATAGGCTCATCTCCATCTCATGTTGAAAGATAGGGTAGAATATAGCTATATCATTTTTGTGCAAGATAACAAATACATGTAGTTATCATGCTCAGAAGCTTTAAATTCAAACTGTATGCTGAGCACACAGGGACTGAATAACAAGAATCGGATCCGTTGCCATGGAGGAGTAAGCATCCCTTGTCAACCGGTGTGTCATTCGTCATGATCATGATCTCATAAAAGGAGAAAAGAACATAAGTCAGTGCTAAAATGACCTAATATTTTCTTTGAAAGACGTAAGTCATCATTCGATCTAAGGTCGTGAAATCATGGAAGTTGTAACATACCATCGCCCCCCTCCAGTCCTTGTGGACGTCCGAAATGAACAGGTAACAGGAGGATGCATGATGTACCCAACCATGAGGGCAGGGATTAGTTTCAACAGGGGCTATGATTACTTGAAAATAAAATGTATGAAAATATTCAGAAAAAAGAAAAGAAAGAAATTACTGTATAATTTATTTAAAAGTACAAAAATTAATTCAACTTTTGGTTATAAATTCAAGTCAGAAACAATTTAGTTATGGAGCAAAAGTTAACCAGGTGCAACATAACTTTATTCAAAAACAGTCTTTGTTATCGTCGGTGAGGTCAAAATTCACAAAGATTTCCTAAAAGTTTTAGATCAATATCTTTAAGAGCTCTTTGTTTCAGATAAATAAAATCGAGTCCTACCCAAGAACTCGCTCGTATACCATACAATATGTTTCCTTCCTGTTTTCGTTGGTCAGCAATTTATGATATAATAATTTCATATAAATAAAAGCTGATTCATTGAATATTTGTTTTAAAAAACAATGACTCTCAGTAACCTCGTCTTCCAGTTTGAAAGATCGAACGAAGCAACAGTTAACCCTGCTTGAGGACGGGTAATATTCTAAAAAGAAATATTTACTTCGCAGAATTTATTAGTAGGTGGTGAGGATGTGTGTGTTGTTATGGTTTTCAAAAGAAACAAAAACATTGTTCTATTCACAACCATTATTTTTTGTTGAAACATTCGTATGGTCATTATACAAAACGAAACAGAGTGTATACGATAAGTAAGAACGCCCTTTTTTACTACGCATTTTGTATACTTTGATAAAAAGAGTACAAATGAAAAAAGATGTTACATGTACCTGCAATTATGGCTACGATCGTGAAAATCATGATGGAAAATTCAGCACTTTGTGTAGCTGCCATCGTAATGCTTCTTATCATTTATCAATCTGACTTTCAAAAATAGCCATGTCAGTGCACTTAACTGTAGCTGCAATTCCAAATATCTATATCACATTTTGACACTTTTCTTGTATTACGGAAGCCCAGACGACTCATTCGAGATTCGAAACACGAAATTACAAATTAGAATCGAGATTCTAAATTTGAATATCGAGATTTAAGATCTACATTAACTAATCAGAAGGCGGATTTAAGATTCGATTTCTCCCCTTTGCTAAGTTTCATCAAAGTTTGAAAATCCCTTTCAAAGAACACGACTATCAAGAAATCGTTTTATTTATTGATAACGTACAAGTCATTTGATGAAATAATAACGCAAGAAAAAACGACTTTTTAGGTCATTGACTGAATTTCAGGATTTCACACACGGCATATAATTAGAATTTCAGAAGCATATCATCCAGCCTTTTAGAAACTTATAGATCTTTTTCTAGTTGTACATTAGGACATTTTGCACCGGCCACTGAAAAAAGACATAAAATTATACTATTAGATTAAAATACTACATGTTAATCTGTTCCATCAAAAAATGTGTTGTTAAAGGTCTAAAAATAAACTAACCGACACAATCAGAGAATACTAACCAAACAGCTCCCTCTTCCGTCCATCATGTTTGAATTCATTTTTATAACGAGACTTTAAAAAGCGTCCAATGAATACCTTTCGAACACGGTCATTCTTAAGTGTTGGTTCTGTACAGTTATAATTCGGTTCTGTAGGCAAAAGTGATTTGTATACTTTGTACTGTATGTATTCTGCAATAAAAGTTATTCTTGCAAAATTTCTATTTATGTATATTTCGCCTATATAAGAAAAAATTGCTGCTACCAACTCATGCTAAGAGGCATGAGAGCTGTCGAGAATAGGACAATGTAAAGCAAAATGAGAAAAACATGAACAAATCTAAATTTGTTACTTCCTTGTCATATTGATGTGAATGATATCCGGATCGACCTTCAATGCGTTCAAAGGAATTTTATAGCACGTATTTCATTTTTTATGTTATTATATATAACAAGTTTCATCTTTGAAACCAACGTTTCAGATACTATATGTTATCAATCTTAAAGTTTGATCCAATTTCTGAAAATTAATTTTTTCGATAAATCTTGAACGATTGTAGTTCGAACTCATATGTAATAAGGCTTTTATAAGGTTACGTTCTTGTAAAATTATCGCTACCTTTGAGTTTTATTTCTTCTGATTCATTGACCTTAATACTGTGGATTTATCATTTTTCGACCATAAAATGGAAAACCTAAGTAATTCTAACGAACGTTTTACTTGTTCAATAAGTTTTACGTGGATTTTTTGTGTTGAAATTCAAGATATTTTATTTATAAACAAAGGACAAGATAGGGTAAGGGCCTAAGGGCCGAATCTGGCCCTTTTTTTGATGTATGATGCTTACTTTAAATCAAGCACTAATTCAAATTCAATGCTTATATGAAAAGCACTAGAGGGTGCAGAAGTAATAGGACATTTTCCCGAATTTCCTCAATTCTGGTGGAATTTCGTCATATTTGAGATACTTTTGTCTTCAGAAAACATAAAGCACAAGCTTGCCTATCTGAGATTTTTACGCATAAGATGCATCTGATACTAGTGTATGAAATATATCAATTTGGTAGGCAAGTTTATGCTCTATGTTTTTCAAGACAAAATGTGCTGTAAAATCGATGAAAATTTGCATAAAATGAGAAAATTCGAAAATTGACCTCTCCTGATCTTTCTGTGACCTCTGTATATTTTAAACCTTAGAACCAATACTCATTTTGTGGCAGGGGTGACAAGTTGTTATGGATGAACTGTTGGATTATTCTGAAAGACACCCAAAAGGGGGGGGGGGCAAAATAGGGGTCTTACACTATCTTGTCCTTTACTTTTGATGGCTTGAGCTTAAAGTTACATCTTGGGAAACTTTGCCTTCGGCTACTATACGGGATTTTTTAAGTGTGTAAAAACCAATGTCGCAGTAGTTGTTCATTAATAATTTTAATAAAACATATTATAAAGGTAAAATATAGTCCTATCCCACTACTTGGTGAACAGTTTTTGTCGAAGAATGGACTGCTTCACAAACAGCTGTCTCGTTTGGTTCCCGTCCCAGGCAGTGACAGACTGTGTTATTGTCCATGAAGTATTTCTTTTGATATTGTACGAATGATCCATCCGGGGCTGTGCAATTGTATCCTAATGATTAAAAATATTATTTCACTGATCTATTGCATGGAATACTTCCACTGATTGATTATCTGTATTGAATACGAGGGTTGTTCAAGGGTAATAATGCATTTATACATATATGATGTCGACATACAACATATAATTTGAGTAACTACAAAAAAATGATTATGAAGATTTTTATTTTTAGATTAGAAAAACGAAATGTATTACACACCATACGGACATGTTACACAGCAATCATCCGGGCTTCTGAAATAGAAGTCGTCGCACCAGGGATAGTGACAATCTCCAATGACACAGCTGGGAATTCCGGTGTCATAACATTCACAAGATGTGCACGGATCAGGATGAAAGTAACCAAGAGGGTATCTTGCGCCGCGATAAAAACAATGGTCGAACACTTTACGCGTAGGATACGGAGGATAAGTGAACGTAGGATATGGCGTAGAGGAAGTGGGCGTTGAAACGTCCATCGTAATCAGTACAGGAACGGAATCAACCATAACGTATAGTTGTGTCAAATAAAATATTGCAAGCATAAACAGTTCAATCATTATGGAAATATTTTAGAGGTACTCTTTAACAATGCAGTTTCGGATAAGTAATATGCAGACACAGATGACGCTGTATAAATAGTCTCGTACTTATTTCCCTGAAGATAACATCAGGTGTAAAGGAGTTAAGATTTGTTCTTATTTCCTTAAAGATAGTCAAAAGTCAAAGAGTTCACTTTCGGACTGATTTCCTACAGATAAATCAAATGCCAAAGAGTCTTGAAATGTTTTCCTACGTGTCTTACAAATAAATTAAGTATAAAAGTGCGTCTCACTTCTTTTTATCGAATTGAATTAAATAACTTGGTCAATTATCACGGAGAAAGTAAGCTCAAGGGCAAGACGTACTCACCTATACCCGGTTAAAAATCGCTTAATATACCAAAGAAACTAATATATTTAATAAAATTCAGATAACTTTAGAAACCATGGACACAGACGTTAGATAAAAGATTTATGGAAGTCATGCTTTGTATGCTCTGAAGTCGTAAGTTTTCTTACAGGGTTAATAATGAGGACCTTAGATCACTTATTTTAAAAGGTCCTAAAAATAGGGAACCCCGATCCTTCAACTGGCGTTGGAATTTCATAAATATTATTGATTGTATTGAACATTACTCCAGATGATGGGCCAGATATGAAAATGAAAACGTTGACACCTTGTCATAATGGATTAAATATATTATATCCGAGGCACTATGAAAACCATCTATCCTTCTGTGTTCAATAATCCAGAAGTGAAAAAAGAATTAGATTGATCTATCTATTGTGTGATTTGATATTGGCTTTATCCAATGAGTTGAAATGGTGTATATATCCACGAGGCTTGCCGAGCGAATATACACCATTTTGACAACGAGTTGGATAAAGCCAATATCAAATAACACAAGAATTATAGATGTTCTATTTATCTCATAAGACTATCGTTTAAACAAAATTTTGAGACTTCCCCTGCGAAACTACTTGAATGATTGCTAATTCAAATTGATGACGTCTAACTTTGATGACGTAGCACCGTTAATGTTTACATTTCTCGAAAGAAAGTAGATCGTGTTCAAAATTTATAATTTTTGCTATCTCCGTCTTTGAAAACATTGCATGACAAAATCTGGAGCGTTCAATCAAATTAACTTCTGAATGAATGTAGAAAGGACGGTAAGGGATCGTGAAAATAACTATTTGGACGATGGCAGTACAAAACATGTTAGGCAAGGCTAAGGGCCGATTCATTGTTGATCCATGGTTAGTTACACCTACATTACTACTATAGGTAGACATACGAAGTAAAATACAAAAAGCAGTGTTGAAGACGTTAAAGGAATCTCATAACAACTTAACTGATAGGCCCTTAGGCTTTACTTTCTCCGAGAACAAGGAATGGAGGGGGGGGGGGGGGTTACATCCGTCTTCAAGAAGCCATGATAAAATAAGACACTTCTTTGACATGCACAAGTCTTTTTCGTGCTTTTAACGACATTAATTCACTTCATCATTCATTTAATAAGGGCAGGACCTTTTTACAAATAAAAGTTTCAATAAAATAAAATCTCGAAGCGAGAGATCGTGTCAAAACCGGAAGTGCTATTGATAAAGCATCTTCCCGTTGATATTATAAAGCATAGGTTTATCCAACGGCCTGTATCATCCACACGTATGAGATGAATTACATGATCAGTACGTACTGGTCCCTGCCGACAAAGCAGGCAACAACATTATCTTCGTTTTTAAGGCTCATTATATAAGTTTTATTTTAGAAGAACTTAATTCTACAAGTGGTAATCATACTTATACTCATACTTCCCTTTCTAAGGAAGAAATTCTCCAAAATCAAATATCAGTTTAAAATATTTTTATTATTCCACAGGGCCAAAAGGAATTTGAACTGCCCTATATACAGTACCTACCGAAGACAACCTAACAGAAAGTGAACCCGGAGCGGACCTCGGGGTCGTTTTCTGGGTCACTTCGGGTTCGCTCGGGATGGCATATTGATCTGTCGATTGGAAAAAGATCGAATGTGTGATGTTATTCGATATAAATCGAAACGTTGTACATACGAGGGGGTATCAAAAAGTTCGGGGACTAGCTATCAAGTTAACATTTTCAACATTTCTTTATTTTTTATTGTTTTATGTTCCATAAAAATTTTGTAAGCTCAGGTTACATAATACTAATTTTATAGCCTCAGTCCACGAACTTTTTGATAACCCCTCGTACAAGCAAAGCGTGTGAATGTACAGTGTAAATCTATTATGATAATTGTTAAATACTATTTTATATTTATTAATTTTAATTCTCAAGGTTGTATGTTATATTTATTTGTTTTCTTTATTTTTTCAAACAATTAATAAATTATGTATTTTAATTTTCCAGGTAGACTGTAACAAAAATATGTACCTATTTATTTTCTTTAGTATTTTTATTACCAGTATGTAAAGGCCATTGATAAAATTTAATAAAATTGGGTAAATATATCAGTCAATGTGTAAAAGGAAAAAAAAGATAATAATTGGCATTTCAATTGTTACTTAAAAAAAAGATCAGAAAAGAAAAATGTATGGTCTTCGACAAATTGTATAATTAAAATATCATCTCAAGATACAGTACAAGATTAAAGTGGAGAGCGTACATGTACGTGCCGATTAATCAATTATTTTATTTCCATTGTCTCAGTATATAAGTTCCCTCAAATTAGTCTGGTAACTGTGCACACTATTATAAATGAACTCTTAATATTTACTACTTGACCATACAATAAATTAATCTATTGATAATATAATTCACTTGTTTGTCAAACATTTAAAATTCGATTTGAAATTATAAGGAATAACAAATACATGTATATACTCTTCAAAAAAAGAAACGCATAGTAGGAACAATGCCCTGAAAAATGTATGATAGTTTTGTCATACCTTTCATTTTTGTATGGATACGATGTATTTGAGTGAAATGCATGATTTTTTCTAATGGAATTGTTAACTTTACAGCTATTCTACAAATCTCACAGACAAAAAGACCTGATTTTGCAAAATCCCCCCTCCAAAAAAAATTTTGATCTCAATTTTCATTTGTTGAATTCTGATGCAATCCCTTCAGATAGAAAGGGGCTATCAAAAGCGGGGGTTCTCGAAATTTTGAATCTGGTTTTATCTGAAAAATGACGCTTCCTAAAAATGCTGCATCTGAATGTTGCGTAGCACAAAAAGGAAAATGGGCGACTGGAAGCAGAGATACCGCAATCTACCATTGCAAGAGGTTTTAATGTTACACACAGAACATACCTAACCTATAAAACATTAACCATTAACATCGAACACCAAATATTCGCAAAAAATATGGTAGACTACGTGTGACATCAGCAGCACAGCATCACTTCCGAGGATTGCATAAATTGCATGAATGTAATGCAAGGACGTCATCTTAAGCATTAGCTATCCTTGAACTGCACAGATCATCTAATAAGACCGTTTTCAGTTGACTACGAATCATTCCAAAAGGATTATTCCTGCCATTGTTCCGACCCCACAACACTACAAATGTCGACTTCAAAGATCTCAGATAAATAGAGCATGACCACAGCATTAGTGCTGAACATTTTGGTTAACCTACTAGTCCAGAATGTTTATCTGAAAGCCTCTTATAAGTTTAAGAGTGCTAATGCTTTGTAATGAATGTTAGACAGATAACTGCCTCCAGGACGTTAAAAAAAGTTTGTGATGCTAGTGTTATAATATGAAAAACGGTATTATAAGAAAGTAAGATTGATTTGGTTCGAATTCAATGGACTTTGATGAAAAAGGTACTCTAACCATGTTCTACCAACACATACCCATTCAATTTTGCAGCATCCTAGAGCCGTATTGCAATCTCACAAAACACAGCCACATATGGCTCGTTTGACACACCTATTCTTGCAAAGAAACAACAACATGTTTCAGCCACAGTCATCTAAATCGCTAGATTTAATTCAAACTAAGCAGCATTGGACAAAATGGATTGACATGATTTGCCAAAGACAATCGCATACCTAGATTCTGCAACAGCTGACCAAAGTTCAACATTTGGATTGAGAGAGTATTCCTAAACAGTTTTTATTACACACATTTCCTTCCATTTGATGCCGTTTGTAGCTATCATTTGTGTCTGCAGGGGGACGGGGGGGGGCATACCAGATATTGATCTTTAATGGTCTTAAAATGACTATAATTTAAAATTGTTGATTAATTATGATATTTAGATAGTATTCCTGTTGCTTACCACATTTTCTGTTTCATCAATGCATCATTTTACTAAATAATCTTTATGTTCATTGTGTCACTAAAATTCTACTATGCGTTTCTTTTTTTGAAGAGTATAATTTTAAACTATATACTAGTAACCAACAAATTAAAAGGTATTTTGCTTAGTTGCTTTCGTCAGTTTCACTTGTAACATAAATAAAGACTTGCAAGGAGGTCCAATTGACTGACGCTTGAACAAAATGTAATGCAAATAGTATGAATGTTTGAAAACTTTGCAATAGATGTACATTTAAGCAAATGTAAGATATGTTTGAAAATGCATGGCTATGTTTCGTAAATACATGTAGATGTCAGAATTTTTATATACATTAAGATGTAATTTTCCGATTTATATTTGTTTATAGTCATAAAAGATAATTTTTGTTCCTCTGAATGTGATATTCTAACTTTAAAAGCATTTAAAAGAAAATACGTGATCTTCAGAATATTCAAGAGCGTGAAATTACCATTGTTGGACACCAGAAGCATTTTATGCATGGGTCGATGAATTCGACATTTATTGGTAAGATCATTAATAGTACAAGACTTGTTACTGTTTATAAAAAGGAAACATTCTTTTAAATAACTTCACTAAGCCTGTCCCATTCTATGCATAAAATACTTGTTGTTAATACAGCGTTGAAAATAGCATAACTCTATTTCGAATTTATTTATTACCCAAGCATTTTTAAAAATATGGTGCGATATTGTTTTGTAAGAAAGAAAAAAAATTGTAATTTTGAGCACTAATCTAACGTGTTCATTTAGTTCATCCTTGGAAAGAATTCGGAAGAAAAGTTCTCATCAGTCTTTCTTTGTAGCATTCCATCTTCCAGGGACTTCCTAATTTAGATCCATGTGGATGGACTCCGTCTGTTTTTTCTGCACAGCTAGGATATTGTATTATACAGGAGCCACCACAGTTTGGTCCATTGCACAGGTTGGCTTGGTACTCACCTTAAATAAGTAACAAAATAAACAACTAAATAATCAAATAATTTAAAAAAAAAAAAAAAAGAATTATACGCTGTTGATGGTTGATGCCATGCTATGCTTTAAGACTTTTAAAATAATTATAAACTTTCAACTTTGGCATCCGAAAAATCCATATTCATTTGTCTACCGAATAAGGAATCATTTCTCGCTTATTGTCAAAATTTGCATATTTTTTAAAAAAGTTTTTTGTATGCCTATAGCACCATTACTCAAATTAATTGCCGAATTTATGCTAATGATAAAGAAACATATTTTCTTTTAAAAGTCTATCATTAGTAATTTTTGTTAATTGTTTAAATTACAAACAATATTTTTATTTAAAAATACAATTCTTTTAGTGCTTACATGCTTGTTTCCGCTCTATCCTACTTCCACATTGTACATTCTCAAAGTCCTCACACCTGAATGTTTTTGTAGAGAACAGCTGGGGGTATTTGCATTCGCGGAGGTATCTTTCACTGGTGGCGAATTCTGGGGCTCTCGTGGAGGAGCAGTCATAATACAGCTGACACTCTGTTTCATGGGGTAAATTAACATCCTTATCCTCCTCACATAGAAGTTCATCAGCTGAATCCAGATAATATTGCATTATTCTAAAAGTAGTTCTTATATGAAAAGGAGCTGGTTCCAATAACCACTCTCTTGAAAATATTATTGTAACACTTTAGATAAATAACTCTACATCAATAATCAATCATGAAATTTGACTCGTCAAATTACGATAAAACACATTTCTTAAGTTAATACAAACTTTTATGAAGTTACTTTACAAGTTCGAGTAAATGTTGTACTAATCAAGCCTCTTTCTTTACACCTCACTATAACTAACTATTAACGGTAATTCCAGCAGCTAGCAAAGGACAACCTTAAGGAATACTGTACAAAAAGTAGTGGGTTTAATCAGATGTGCATGCTTAAGAACGCCAATATACATTTTTAAAATGAAATCATAACATTTTATTAAAAACAATAAGAAATGATTTCTAAGCATTTGATACAAACAACTAAATAATTATTATCTAATTTTTTTTCCTCCATGGCATCTTATCCCACCTCTGATGTTTCGGAGGTCCGTGTTTGCTCTGCTATTATTTTGTATTGTTTTATGGACTTCGGTATTTATAGACTGTTTGTTATCTTCACGTCCTTCTTGAAACACCTACCAGGTACTAGATAAATCTTTTAAATCGAACATGCACTTGATAACACTCAAAATGGATAACAGATAAAATCATTCAAGTTCAGTTCGATTTGAATAACAAACTAGTTGGTGAAATATGATATTTTAGAAAATCTGATATACTTGACGTTCAGTAGATCAGATAAAAGAATGTCCTTCACAGATAAACTGATTCTGAATCATATATATTTTTGGAAAAAAAAATTTCAGTGTACAGTACAGCATGTCAATTAAGATTTAGTAAATTTGAAACTTGTATTTTCATTATTATATAGTAAAATATTTTTTATAGATAAGATTTATAAAGCACTGTATGTGCTGAAAGAAATAATAGTATCCCACTCTCTGTGATATTTACACATATGTTGCACCTCATATACTGCGATGTGTTAAATTACAATTTCAAAGTTAACCTAAGGGCTTGTTATTGGCTCACATAAATCAAAACAGCACTAGAGTGATGAATTGGATATGAAAGGATTCAGAATTCTCCTTTACATAAAATGGACAATTTAAAAAAATAATTAAAACACCCTAGTACAACCCTCCAAAAAACTTTCCAAAGGAGATAACAAACAGTATTCAAGTTTACGACTTCAAAAGTCCATTCAAACAATACAAATCAATAGAAGAACAAATACGGACCTCTAAACATAAGAAATGTGATCAGATGCCATTGAGAAATGTCGTCTTTAAGGTGGATGACAATGGAATAATTCCTATTCCATAAAATAGTGAGAGGTTATTGGGCTCCTGGATATTGTCGTCATGGATATATATTCATCATATTTAAGTTATAGAGAAATTGAATTCATATATTAACATCCAGTATTTTCAAACATATCTAATTAACCTGATGATATCAGGGTTCTCCACATTTGAAAATTTAACCATGGAGGAAGCTGCGTGAAGACAAAATGCGCGTTAGACTTCCTAATCTTCATTAATCAATTACTGGTTTTACAATTTGTTAACTTTACCATTGCAACACAAAACAATGGAATAACTAACTCTGTTTAAAGTTAAAAAAAATAAGAATTAAAATTGAAAAGGATTTATCCTGTATTTTACCTCACAAATGTACCAGAATTTGACCATAACTGTAGTAATCTTCCGAAGAAATTAAAAAAAAAATTGCTGATACATTAACCATGGCAATAATATTCAGAAATTAATAATTGTAAGAATTGTTGTAGCCTGTTGTATGAAATGTTTTGTTTAAATATGACTAAAACTGATGAATGGGTAGTATTTTTTAAGTAAACACATAAAGGAACAATTGGATAAGTGTCCTTTTTTTCTAAGCATTCAATTTTTCTAGATAATGCGTTTTTCACCAAGTTTTGTTTACTTCTCCACGTGCCCCAGTGCTAAAAATAGCGCCACGAGACGTCTCATAACAACGGGAAGTAACTCTAAAAATAAGACGGCGATTGACACTTAGGTCCTATGCACATTTAAATATCGAAAACGATAATAAAGTTAAAGCTTAAAAAACATAGCATGGGAAATTGATTAAATACAGAGGAATATGAATTTTTTTACAGAGTATTTTTGGGCTAATATATCATCAAGATTGTCAACGTTAAAAAAAAACTATATACTGTTAAAACAGCTGGCCGACCGACCTTCAATTCATGAATTCTCACGCTTCACGGCACATTCGCAGCTGATCGACCGTGGGTAATTAGCACTATTACCTGTACGTGTGCGCTTGGGGGGCTTCACAACACGTTGTATAAACACAATTAACTACTCAGATAGTATATTGCAGGTGTCATCTCTGAAAATGCAAGTTTTAAATTCTAAAATTTAACCATGGCGGGCACGGATTTTAACCATGGCGCAGCAAATTTAACCATGGCGCACACAAATTTAACCATGGCGTACCTCCATGGTAAAACCCCTTATGGAGAACCCTGGATATAAAGGGCAACAACTTAACAGCAACTAAAAAATTTTAATTGTCTTTAAAATGATCAATATTATTTAACTCCTGTATTAAATTTCAAGTTTTTTACTTAATAATTGAGGAAATAAGGATATTTTTTATTTACTGCAGTATAATTTATAGGTATAAATAAAGCTTAAATGCATCTGTGTATATTTACGAAATATCTACAAAGTGAGGTCATAAAATTATTTTAAAAGAAATGCAAATTACGTCAAAGAAAATACCTTTTGTGCCATGAAGAAACTGTGTTACGATTAACACGAACCCAGCTGCTTTGACGGAAAATTTAACCATTTGTCCTTTAGTTATGTTCTTCTTCTTTACAGAATAATTTTTTACAAAATGTTTTCTGTATTTCTGTTTATATATGTATGATTCCTTATCAAACAATCTGGTTCTGATGAAATATCTAGCTTTGTGTCATTTGAATTGATTGATGTCAACTCAAATTAAATAGTTCACAGAATAAATACGTGTACCCGCTGTTGCAAATGATGTCAATTGTCATCATTTGACCTTCTATTTGTCAAGTATTCTAGAAGTCAGGTTTGTTTATAATTTTTATACAGTGCATGTTTTTTAAACAGTTTCTAATAAATCATAAAAAAAATCAATGCAATGTTTGTATTAGTAAATCTCAACATATTTTCTTTACATGTTTTACAAAGACGGGTTGAGAAGCGGTTTTCGATATTTTTGCGATTTAAAAAAAATATGCAAAAATAAACAAAGAAATGCATGTACATATAGAAAAAGAAACATCAATCACGCTCTAAAGCCATTTTAAACAATACAATCCGAGGAGCAGAGAAAACAAGCCTCCTAAAAAATATATTAGGTGGGATAATGTGCCATGGAGAAGAAAGCATTCCCTGTTGACCAGTCTCGACCGCCATGTGCTTTTTGTCATGACCTGGCAAAGGACAAAAATGGGAGACAATTCAGATTGATTGTTAGTAATGGCTAAACAATTGGATTTGGCGCAAAAACCACAGCCTATGGATTGCATTTGCTTCATTGTCATTCTATCTACCACAAAGTTTGCATAATTTTGACGTTGAACAAGACGCAACGACTAAATTCATTTGGCAATAGCTTGCCATCGAAGGTAGAACGTTCTCTTGCGTATTTTTTATGGGTATATTTCTAAATATTAAAAATAGACAAGTTAAAATCACCACGTTTATCAATAAGGTTATTTATTGTAAGGTGACCAAATAAATAAAAAAAGTCTTTTCTATTAAATAACCAAAAATGAAACAGAAGCGTCACACTCGATGGTATTATTCAATTCAAACTCACTGGAATGTATTGTGTCAACATATAAATAATAATGACTATTGTTAATTGATAAAACGTAACCAATATTTAAGAAATAAACAACGTTATTTAGTGAACATGGCGTTATGAATAGCAATTGCTCTGCTGGCATATTCCATGATGCGCGCTAGCGCATCATGGAAAATATGCCAGCAGAGCTATTGCTATTCATCACGCCATGTTCACTAAATAATCGTTGTTTATTACTTATATTTGCATTTTTTGATGTTGTCAAGAATATCAGAGGAAATCCTGACTTACATAAGGACGAAGCTTCTTCTGTCTTCAGTAAAGAAAACACATACGGCTTTAAAATCAGTACACCTGATCAATACTCCTTTTCTCTAATAAATCACAATTTTAAAAGTATTTCCCTCTCTAACACAGTTATCTGGATACAAGCAGCGCCGTCATCACATTCTCTTAATTTTTGTTTTGATGCAGTCGTGACGTCATCGATCAACGTTATTGAAATCCTCTGACAAAAATCAATTATTTAACACTATGATAAAAATGAGAATGATTTTATAATGATTATTACTCAAGTATGCTTTTCTGTGATTTTTTTGGTACTTTTTCTATTTATTTTTACTTGAAATAGATATACATCTACTAGTTAAAGAGATTTTCTCTTTCTGTATGTTATTACCCAAGTGTGAAGAGTTATCGTTCTTTGTACAAGTATGCATGATACGAAAAAATAAAAATATGGAGTTCTATTCCTTTTTTAAAAAGTTTTAAATTACAATTAAATACATTGACCAAAAATAAATTTTTAAAGATATCAAACAGCAATTTTAAATTGTTCTGAATTCCTTTTTTTCCAAAAAATATTATTAAAAACTTATATTTAGTCCTTTTACGAAACATTTCATATATATACTTCTCAACACGGTTTATAAGTGTAGTAGAGATTGTTCTACACGAGTGAGATAGAGCAATTGCACTCACAGCAGAAGCAATTGCGTCTATAGTCCTATGAACGCAGTTGATGGCTACATGTTCATAGTAAGAGAGAGCAGTGGATATGCAAATATATGTAAATGTTAAATTAAAGTCGTAGAAAAGTCCTCTACCCCTATCTATGAAGGTGAATTCCACTACAATGTCTCAAGGTCTGCATATAGCTCTATCTGAGTATCTCTTACTCCCCAGAATGGGAGATGATAGTACGTTTTGGCCGTGCATGGTTCGTGACAATAAATCCACTACCATCTGCAAATAACACGGTGTCTTTGTTTATATAGTTCTGCAGTGCACATCATTACAGGCGATGGAAATATATGTGAAAAGGACATTCTGAATTAGTATCGACATAAATACCCGTATAGTTAAATACAAGCCAAATAACAGTACCCTTTCGCTTTCAATAAAATAAAATGTAATGATATATTGTGTTGGAAAGCTTATATGTACTACTAGCATCTTGCAGTGGTTTAGTTGATATAAACTCAAGTCTTTGTTTGTAAGTTTCATTATTATGACCATGACGATTGCATTGTAAAAGAGCTGCGTTTTCATTTGACATATGTCACTCTATTTAATAGTTTGAGTCTTCTTTCAAAGGAAATTCCTCAAACTCAAACTTTTGTATTCTTATTTTAAAAAACAGATACAAGAAAAAACACTCTTTGCTTTGCTTTCGACATTTACTAAATCTAAGACCGTTTAATATTGTTAACTGAATTTTCTCATTTATTTGTTGACTCGACTCTTCGTATCGCACTACATCGCATCGCAAATTTGATACAATATTAAAGTAAACCCCAAAGGTAATGTAACAACGGTTTATTATATATATACACTACAATTATCAACTGTATCCGAGTGGGTCCTGGCCCGGGGGTTAGACTCACCAACTTCTAGTTGCGTCTTCTCGCTTGGCCATCGTCAGGGAGAAAGAGGCCCGTGCGACTGTCCCGCCATCTGACGTCACCTTGTCAGTAGGTCGTACCACGGGACAGTCGCACAGATACTACACTCCCCCCGTTTTCTTTAACAGGCTTAGGTCCTCACTGGGGGGAGGGTCCGGTACCATCTCCAGCGATGGGGCGCTATTAACGCCCGCCCGGACAGGCTGCCCAGGAACAATAAGGCCGGGTCAAGCCCCAGATAATGGAAACTCAGGAAGATCCCTGAGTAAAGAGGGTCCGGGATTGCTCCCAGTTACACTCAAAGCCCTAAGTCCGGGATAATTCCCGGATACTGAGAATACTGAATACAGGGGTGAGTCCAGGTCTCTGACCTGCTCACCACTCCTGCACCACGGCGAGGGTCACCCTCCTAGCTCCAGGCCACGGCATCTCCGCGGTGATAATGCCCCCAGTGATGGTTCCAGGTGGAGGTCGGCCGGGGGCAGAGTCTTCCTCGGGACGGGGAATATCTTCAATGGGGGAGGTCTCCTCGCTGTCGGTGTCCTCAAGACGGCGGACCGGAACAAGAGCTCCTGAGGGGGTGGGCTGACGCCACACGCATCTGTCCGATGGTCCTCCAGGAACACCGATGGGCAAACTCATGCTGAAACTCGTCACCCGCCGACTTCCAATCCTACGCCCGTTGAAGGCAGTAAGATATGCCCATCGGAGCCGGGGGGACAGGCGCTGCAAGACATGGGCGTGGACCCTCCAGTGAAGCAGCAAGGCGGGATGTAGCGCCCCTGTCATGATGTACACAGCTGGGGGGACTCCCCAACGTGATGACATAGAGCGTCCATGGCCTGCACGAGGTCCTGAGTAACGAGGCTGTTCCTGTCCGGAAAAACGGCCTCCCCCCCGAATGCCATCCGCCAGAGTTTGAACGTCCCCATCCTCGCCCAGGACCTGGCGGGCTAACCATCTGAGGGCTTCCATACGAAGGGCGGAGACTTCCGGGGTAGGGGGCACCCCGTGTCTAAATACGGCGGGGAGGTGGTGCCGCAACATGTGGTCCCTCAGCTTCCTAGTCATTGCCCCACACGGAAGGGGGCAGGGAGAGGGAGGATGCTCCCTCCTAGCTCCTCTATCTCGGCTCCTACGGGAAGTAGGTTGGGGTCCGGGAATCCTGTCCGAGGCCGGGTCGGATCCATCAGTCCTTCCGGATGGTGGTGGCGATGTGGGCCGAGGGGTGTCTCTAGGACTCTCCTGGCGCTCTGGGGGTGAGGGTACCCTCCTCTCAGGGGACGACTCTGGGGGCCTCATCTCCCATTCTGGGACCCTTTGGTTGTACTGGGAGGGAGAACGCTCCCTCCTCCAGCCTCTCACAGGTGACTCTTCATCGTCAGATGAAAGGTCAGAAAACTGACCTTCCACAGGTGAACTGCAAAAGAAAGCAGACCCCACATTAGCTACCCTGGGCCCCCCCATACAATCTGGGCATATATACTGATCCAGGGAGGAAGCCTCCTGGGAAGTAACCCCCACACAAACCCCATGAAACCAACTGTAACACTGATCACACTGGATCATGAGTCCCCCATCGTCTGGTTTACGACAGAAACAGTACAGTTCTGAGTCAGTTAGCTCCCCATCTGAGGACTTGGCGGACTCGAAGGAGGGCGACCGTACCTTGCGCGGGCGCCCCCGTTTCCTTGGTGCACGGGGAGGGCTGTCAGAGGACGAACTCGGGTAGGGAGGCCCAGGGGCCTCACACAAGGGAGCATCCCCCTCTAGCAATGGGGCACCACTTACGTCACATCCTTCCTGGGACTGGGTTCGGAACTTCTCTTGATACCGGGACAACCACAAGGGTATATCCCGGTCTACACACTTCTTCAGGCGATCGTGGTTGACAACCATCACAGTGAGCTTAGTCTTGACTCTGTAAAGGTGTGAGCTTAACTTTTTCAAGATTATGCCTGGACCCTTCCATGAGGGGCTCAACTTTCTGCACTTCCCCTTTACAGTGGCTGTGTCAAGGACATAAACCAGGTCTCCCTCGTTGTAAGAGTGAGCCGAAACCCTGAGGTCATAATCTCTCTTCATGCGTTCCTCCGAGGTCTGGAGGCGACGCCTGGCTGTCTCATGAGCCGAAT